GCTCTTCCCCTATTTCTCCCGTTCCTCGCGTCATGGAAATTGTGGTACGTATTTTCTTCTCGCGTCTCTCTCGTACTTTGCAGCCGCCGCCGCTGTTGCTGTTCACCTTTACAGTCTTTAGCTTCTCCTCTTCTTCTTCATCTTCTTCATCCTCACTCAGTAACTTCTGCCCCGACTCATTGTATGCCCACATTTTTTACAGTATACATGTTTCTTCTTCTTCTTTTTTACATGACCCTCCTGCAGACCTGCTGCTGGTAGAAAGAAGAAGAAAAAAAAATCATCAGCGACGTTGACACTTTTGACCAAACTGCATCTGGACGGAACGAAAATGAAATGAAAAAGGATGATTTGTCATTGAAATTTCCAGACTCCTCTGATGGATATTTTTAATTGGTGAGTTTTGATTTCTATTTCCAACCAAACGTAGTTGTGAACGACAGTAGCCTTGGACGTAGTTTCTAATCTGGTATATTGACGCGGTTTGGTACCCGACATAATAAATGTCATAGTCGGAATATGAACTGCATTATTTCGAAATGAATCCGATTGATTTATAAACGAAGCAGCGCGTGTTCGTGTGTCCGTATGTGCGTGCGTGCCGCTTTCTCTTTGCAACTCCACAGGTTCTTTTGAGTCGATAGTGATTTTTTCCCCCTGCCTCATAGAGCCAGTAGGTTAATGGAAAACCTTTGTAATTTAAAAAAAAAACAAAGAGTAAATCTCACAAAACTAAGGTTTCGATACACACATACACGTGTATATATATATATATATAGAGAGAGAGAGAGAGAGAGAGAGAGAGAGTTTTTTTTTACCAAAAACACCCCAAACAAACAAAACGGCAAACTGAATTATTCTAACTCTTAGTGAATTAAGTGCAGCAGAAAAATTGAACTTTATCTCAGCTCCAGCAGGGGTTTGATTTTATTGAATCAAACCTCCACTCCCAGGTTTAAATTCGTTTTTTATGAAAGGTTTATTGTTCACTTTATTTTTGTTGTCTCAGCAGCACATAAGAGTTTTTTGTTTCAGCCCATCCAGAGGAGGTTTAAGGCTTAAATATGTTTGCGCGAAAAATAAAGATCTGGCAGTGAAAGCGAGAACTGTTAACAAGAACTATGGGGATACTTCATACTTTTTCCACTACAATAGCAGAGCCAGAGAGTAAGTGATTTTCCACTGCATGAAACAGTAACAGGTATTAGTATCGGTACCAGAATCTACCAAGGGTATCCAAGGATATGTGCATATATTGAGATTACAAAACAACATTAAACAAAAATGTTTTTGTTTAATGCACTTTAATGCAGAAAGTGTCTACAGGAACCATATACTGTACCATGTAATATTTTTCATTAAGTACTTGTACCTGAATATATATAAAAAAAATTGTTGCCCTGCTCCAGAAACCATGCCCATTTCAACAACAGGAACAAGTTACAATAACCAGAGCTTTGAAAAAAAAAAAAAAAGTTCATCTAATACATACGTTTCAAACTCAAGGCCCGGGGCCCAAATGTGGCCCGCCAAGCCGTTTGGTGTGGCCCGCAGGAGCTTTAAAAGCATTTAGTAAATCCATGACGCAGAGTTTCTTAACCTGAGAAATTAAAAGTTATCATTTTATCATACAGAAATGAACAATATTAACATGCATTAGTCTGTTATGGAGTAGTTACATCCATACCAGTGGTCCCCAATCTTTTTTGTTTCCACGGACTGGTCAGCCAGTACCACCCGTTACCTCAGACTGGTACCAAGGTGCTGAGCATTGAAGGATCATTAAATTTTCAAAATAAAATATCTTTTAGACTCCATTCTCTTTGTATGAGTCTGAATGACCATTTATTTTTAAATATTGCCAAATTATCTTTATATAAAGAAAGTCAATGGATATGGTGGATTTTCTTTGAATGAAGTAAATTAGTAAAAAACTAACCACATTTTTTCACTGTGTCCCACTGTGGCCCGGTACCAAATGACCTATGGACTGGTACTGGTCCGCGGACCGGGGATTGGGGACCCTTGATTTATACAGTCTTCCATTTACAACCGGCCCTTTAAGGGGAACTGTATTGGTGATGTGGCCCACAGTGAAAATGAGTTCGACACCGCTGATCTAATAGAAGTAGAACCACAGATAGTGACAATGTGTGTGCACCTGTCCAGATTTAGACACGCTCAGCCTTTATTGTCTAACAATTTCATTCTAATTGAAACCCTCCTTTAGTCTCCGCCTTACCGAATTCCTTGGCCTGTTTCTTCTTTTTTTTCAGATGGCAAACGATCTGAGGCCAAACTGGTTGTGAAGGTGCTCGATTTCTTCCCTCCTGCCCCCCAAGCTGGACACAGCATGGCGGCGGGAGTAGCTGCGTGGCTTCCCTTTGCTAGGGCAGCAGCTATTGGCTGGATGCCTGTAGCCACCCTGCCAATGCCAGTTGCGCCGGCAGAGAAGAGCAAACGCCAGGACGAGCTGATCATCCTTAACGTGAGCGGACGGCGATTCCAAACCTGGAAAAACACACTCGATCGATACCCGGACACCTTGTTAGGAAGCTCTGAAAAGGAGTTCTTCTACAACGAAGAGACCAAAGAGTACTTCTTTGACCGGGACCCCGATTTGTTTCGAAGTGTGCTCAACTTCTACCGCACTGGGAAACTCCATTACCCCCGCTACGAATGCATCTCCTCCTACGACGAGGAGCTGGCCTTCTTTGGAATTATTCCAGAGATTATCGGTGACTGCTGTTATGAAGAGTACAAAGACAGGAAGAGAGAGAATGCTGAGCGTCTGATGGACGATCAGGAGGACAATAAGGATGCTAAACTGCCCAACATGACCTTCAGGGAGACCATGTGGCGAGCCTTCGAGAACCCCCACACCTCCACTATGGCTCTGGTTTTCTACTATGTCACGGGGTTCTTCATTGCTATTTCTGTTATCACCAATGTGGTGGAAACAGTCCCCTGTGGCTCTTCACCAAATCAGAAGGACGTCCCCTGTGGTGAGCGCTACACTGTAGCCTTCTTCTGCATGGACACGGCCTGCGTCATGATTTTCACCGTGGAGTATCTGATGCGTCTTTTTGCGGCTCCGAGCCGCTATCGCTTCATGAGGTCAGTGATGAGCATCATTGACGTGGTGGCCATATTGCCCTACTACATCGGCCTGGTGATGACTGACAATGAAGACGTGAGCGGGGCCTTCGTCACCCTTCGGGTTTTTCGCGTTTTCAGAATTTTCAAGTTCTCGCGCCACTCGCAGGGTCTGCGTATCTTGGGCTACACATTGAAAAGCTGTGCTTCTGAGCTGGGCTTCCTGCTCTTTTCTCTCACCATGGCCATCATCATCTTCGCCACTGTCATGTTCTATGCTGAGAAAGGGTCCACCTCCAGCAAGTTCACCAGCATCCCAGCCTCCTTCTGGTACACCATTGTTACCATGACAACACTAGGGTAAGTACAAAATAATAACTCAGATGATTTTTAAATGCGGGGTGGTTAATTGCTGTACATAAGTTCTATTGAGTTGAAGATGAGTGTGATGGATGTGAGGTCTTTTGAACTAACTTGATGATAAAGAAGAGTCAAAGATATGACCTCCCTTTAATTTGACAATTGACGTCTCCTATAGCAGGGAATTCATTGTGTTCAACTCGTAATGTGAGTCACTTTATCCATATGATTGTCATTGGAATCAGTGGCATCACTTTTTATTGAACGTATCTGCTCCTCAATGACAAAATGTTTGACTCTGAAGCCATGGTGAATATCTTAAAAGAGTGATCTACATCATGACATTTAAAGGAGTCACAGTGTTGTCCAGCATAGTGTGACTGTAGAAACATTGTCCTCCTGTTGCATTGGCAATAGAGGCTGTCACGTCAGAACGTTAGGTAAAACTCAAGGGCCCATCTTAATGAACAAAAAACAACTAATGCAGGACATGGTACCATTTTCCATTTGTTTAGGTAGCAGCTTCAGTCTTTGGGAAAATCCTGTGAATTATTTGCCTAATTTCTATGAAAACAGCGGACTTTTACCAATCCTAAAGGTTTGTGCTGCTGTTGCACAGATGATCCTAATTTCCTCCATCTGCCTTTGGTTTTTTTTTTCTGCTCTTCTACATCTTTCTTCACCCCCGTGAGGCGTTTGAGCTGCTGGCTTTGAAAATGTATATCAAAAGGCTACGTTTTTACTCATTTTCACTCAGGCTTTCACAGTTTTTTTTAACTTACTCATTTTCACTCAGGCTTTCACAGCCTTTTTTTTTAATATTGTTGATGAATTCATGTACGTGTAGCTCGAATTCATAGGCTGTTGTTAATACTGCTGCTGCCATTGCTGTTTTAAACAACTGGTCTTTGATTGAGTCTTTACAAGGTGTTAGCATGCGAACCGGATTCTGTCTAGTGTTTCTGCTTATTTTAATACCGTCATATATTTACGATTGAGGTTTTATTGTCACGAAGGAAGGAAGGAAGGAAGTTTCCGAACACAAAATCACACCATAAATTTTTATATTGCACGTACAGACACCGCTCTAATGCAGAATAGTAGAACGAATGCTAATCTGTTTTATTAGTGTTAGGCTGACAAAGTTGGAAGCTGATAAATCCTCCTGTGAGATATTGGAGTCGGGGGGCCATAAAAGGCTCTAAGCTCATGGTGCTGACACACTTGGCACTACGTCGTCCAAGGCTACTGTCGTTCACAATGTCTAAAGGTCTGTTGCCAAGAGAACATCTGATGCTTTTTTACGACAAGGTTAAGCCACGGACCGCGCAGGGCTCCAGCTGGCATTTAACACTCGGACTTCTACGAAGTTAGTGTACGAATTTACATTGGCGTTAAAAGGGGAGTTCAAAGGACAGTCGTGCAGAATACTGCTAGTTCTTCACTCTATCGACAGCAGTGGGGAAAACTGTCAGACAGAGACTCTGCTCCTGCACTGCAGTGAGCCTGAACTCTGTCAGACAGAGACTCTGCTCCTGCACCGCAGTGAGCCTGAACACTCTGAACGTGTCTCCTGTTGCGTCTACAGTAGGACAGTGTGTGTGTACATGCGTTTAAGTGTGTAAGCGCATGTGTATATGTGGTTGTTAAGGTGTTGGGGGTGTGGTTGTTGAGTGTGGCCTCATCAATAAAACAGGGGCCAGAAGTGTGTGTCAGAGTGACTAATGATGTGACTTGTGTATCTGCTGACTAATGCAAACCTCCCTGACATTCTGTGCTCTGCCCCCCTCTGCACAAGGATACACACAGAGGTAAACATGCATGTGGGCTCTGTTGTTTTATAGCGTTGTACAAACACTGCAGTGTATTTTTCATGTTCCTCGTCCATGCTGCAAACCTAGTGTTAAAGGAAGCTTCCTTACTGCATCTTGTTGTACAAGTTTGTATATCAACAAAGGACCAAGACGCTGCCCTTTCCAATTTGATCTTTCACCTCAGGTAAACAGAGTGGTGTGTTTGTTTTGTGAACCCATAAAAAACCGTTTTTTTTATTTCTTTTTTTTTTTTTTTTTTTTTTTTTTTTTTTTTTTTTTTTAGACTTTATTCTGTTAGTATCAGAGTCTGAATGACTGGTTGTTTTGCAACATTGTCAGATTATATTTCAATGAAAAAAAGTAAAGGGATATGACTGGATTCTTTTTGAATGAAGTAACTTATTCAAATTGAAGCACATTTTTTTCCACTCTGTCCCACTTATGCCCGTGCCAAACATATTTTCACTCTGACCTACGGACCATCATTGGTCCCTGGAGCCGAGGTTGGAAACCCCTGGTATAAGGAATGGGCTAAGGACCGAGAGACTGTCTATAATGGTTTTGCTCTTTTGCTTCCTGTCTTTGCATTTTACCCAGTCTATATGCTTATGCATATTTCAGTGGCTGCAAAAAGTTGTAGACTATTGTAGAAATAGTTGCCAGCCCTGTCTGTGGAGTTCATATTTGTAAATGATTTCATTTAGTGTTAGTGTTGTGTTTGAGACATAAAGTAAAAAAAAAAAAAAGAAAAAAAAAAGCACTCTCTCCATTACTTGTGGTTGTTTTCTCTCTATAAGAAAAAAATAATTTGAGGAAATTGTCACAATAAAGTTAGGCATTTTTTGTAAATAATTCAACAGGCGCTATCTAATGTGACCCTAAAATTAAAGCCTGCATATGTCGATATCTGTCGACATTCGAATCGTTCGAGTCATTTCCCCAGTCTTTTGTTTATTAACGGCAGTGTGTAAATGAATATACCTTCAAACGCTGTAGTTTACGAGGTAAAATGCTAAAGTGATCACTTTCATTTAATTTTTTTTTTTTTTTTATAGAAGAAAAGACAATTTTTAACATCTTACAATCCTGAATAAAAACTCATGTTTAGGGTAAATAAATCAGCCAGTGTTGTAGGCACCATTAGGACAGAGATGATGAGATCACGATTTGTAAAGTATCATTGGCATACCATCAAGATCAGCAAGGCCTTCTCTGTTGGCCTAAACCATATTTATAAAGTAATACAAAGTATTCTTACCATTCATTCCTATTCTCACCTTTTCTTTTGCTTGCGCTGCTTTCAGTCTCGTATACTTGGTGTTTTGTTCAGAATCAGCAGTGTGGTGTTTGTTTTTTTAACCAATTAGATTTTGAGTTGGCAACCTCAACATCTTCTAGCAGGCCTACAGTTACAACGGTGGTGTCAGTGATTCACAGTACGTGAAAACGCGGGGAAGACGCGCTCGTTTTCTTCTGAAGCATTCGCTATCTCACATCCCTTGTTCACGTCACATCCTCTCTTGCCCTCGTAACTGCTAAAATGCTGCCAAACATCAGCTGTTAAGACCGCAGGGGTCACTTGAATGTATGTTTTATGTTCAGCACTCTAGTTAGTTGGTTCAACCAAGCCTGTTGTTAATTATAGACAGCTAATTTTTACAAAAACAGTTTTTTTTTTCAACATTGGTTTATACAATTGTTGAACCGACAATCCCATTGGAATGAAAACTGATTATTTCTTTCAGTCCTGGAGCACATTTTTCATATTTAATCCTGTTGAATGCAACTAACATTTAATTCACTGACGTGAATAAAAGACATATTACAAATGTATAGAGAAGGGCCTATAGGGAAAGTAGTACTCAACCTTTACTTGCTCCTTTACAGTGCTTTCTGTGTGTATGAATGTGAGAGAGAGAGAGAGAGAGAATGATTGACAGCTCGACCAATCGATTGGAGCCTAATGGTAGTTAATTATTACTGTTGATTCTAATTCATATCCCTGTGACTGGAGCAAGGAGTCACGTAACAGTGTTTCGTGAGCCCCGTAAAATCCATAATTACCTTAAACAGCCATGATTACACTATAAGCACCCCACTGTACTGTACGCACCGACTGTAAGACAGCAAACAGTGTTCGTTTATCACGTAGCCCTGTGTCCTGCGCTTGCTGTTCATCAGTCACACCTGGTGCCTGAGGTACTGTATATATTTGTCATTTCTGCACCGCATCCTCTGTTATCATTTCATGGGTTCTGGTGGATTTTTATTAGTTTTGGCTTTTTTTAGTCGTAGTGTTCGCTGTGTCTTTTAGATGCTGTTCCCGGTTTAAGGACTGCACCCTGATTTCTGTGCCTTGTAGACCTGGCATTGAGTCTTGAGACTGCACATCCTCATGATAATTATACTGAAAAGACATCCCATCAGACTGTTCACACACACACTATCGAGTTGCGAACATGCACCATCAGCCCTGTAAATGCACACGAGCAGTAAAACCCACCACCACACTGTAAACACACACAAGCAAATGGTAAACACACCATAAAACAAACATTGTTATACTGCAAGAGATAAGATAAGTGTTATAAAAAGTCACCAAGCCCTTGTATAGACCACAACCCAGGGCAACATTTTTGAAAAAGTGGTCTTGGATGCTGTACTTTCAACAACTCTCTGTTTTCCGCAGTTGTGTTACTCCGTTTTTTTATCTCGGAAATTGATCGAAATTGGGGGTAAAATGGATGTGTGTGAACAGGAGTCTTCACCATGCCAAAGTAATTGACAATGTCCAGATATATATATGTGTATATATATGTATATATGTATATATATGTGTATATATATATGTATATATATATATACAGTATGTGTGTATATATATAAATGTATATGTATATATGTATATGTATATATGTATATAAATGTATATGTATATATGTATATGTATATATGTGTATATATATGTATATATATCTATATATGTGTGTATATATATATACAGTATGTATATATATGTATATATGTATATATGTATATATATATGTATATATGTTTGTATATATATATATACATATATATATATATATATATATATATAAGTAGGTAGCTATAAATGCCGTATGCACCCTTCTATGCTTCGTGTGCACCATACAGTCTCGGCAAGATGAACGATATAATGGGCAA